GTACGCAGACCTTACCCCTACCCCGAAGGGTAGAGAGACTGTTTCCAGGAGACCCTCAGCTCAAAAAGGTAATATGAGCCGATATATTAGTACCATAAAAATGCATAATAAAATAACAACAATATAAGAGATATGAAATATATAATACGAAATACGAAATAGATGGCTAGTATAGTAAAACTAGCAGGTAAAGCCCTGCATCAATATACGACCAATGACATTCTTAGTCTAACTCCTAACTAGCTAATCTCACTCTATTGTGCTGTAGAAATATTCACAACTTTCCTTAACCTACAACCTTAATGCTCGACCTCCATAATTCCCTGTCAAGGGCCATGTCCTCAGTAANCTCAAGCAGAATAATAGATATAAATTAGTTTAATGAAAATAGCTAGATAGAAAGTCAAACATGGATTGAAGAATAGGTTCACAAACCCTAATTGAACGTCTATGATAAAACTTTTTATAAGAAATCTATCATCCCCAAAGAACAACAACAAATAATTAAAGATCTAAAGATTAAAAGAACAAAGAATTACCGTCAAGAATTAACCTTGAAAGTTATGCTGTAGTTCAACCCCTACAAAGAGATTTCCAACCTCTCAGAGGTGTATCAAACTCACAATATGTTAAAAGCTACTCTAAAAGATGAGTCTACTAATATTTATTGCTATTACATAAAGACGAGAAAAGAGAAAATTGCTCAAACTTAAAACTATTGCCAACTGATGGACCAATGCAAATGCGGGCTCAATAGCTCAACCTCAGCGCGTCGCACTGAGATGAGATTTTCAGGTAATTTTCATGCTTCAGTGCAAGATGCTGTGCCAATTCTCTAGGCTGATGCGGTGCGTCTATTCCAATTTTCGAGCAATATTCTCCTAAGCTTGTTCCATGCAATCCTTGAGCCTCCAAACATGGACTTGTTGCAAGAATCCTCAAAAAGGCTCCGAACACCTTTTGACCATTTCTTGAAGATCATGTAGCTCCTAAAGGTGCAATCCTTGGATGCTCTTGGTCTTGTAACGAGTCAATGGTCCTTTTGACATCTCGGGATCTTCCGCAGTATGCTCCATGCCATATGGGATCATTTTCATTGTGTACGACAGCAGCTTAAGTATGTCTAGTTAAACCAATGGCAATCTATCAAGAAAAACCTAGTTGCAGGCATTCCTCTTTCTAGCATGGTATCTTTTTGTGTTATTGGTTCGTTTCTGTCTATTGGAAACAACCTCTCTATCTCTACAAGATAGGGGTAAGGCTAGGTACACACTACCCTCCCAAACCCCACTATGTGGGATTATACGGTCATGCTCGTCTTGGACTTGGCTGTGCCCTTTGGGTCGGCCATGCTCATGTGACGCCGACGTCAATGAGGAATGTGTACCCCTCGGGGTAGGGGTATGGTCTGCGTATACACTACCCTCCCCAGACCCCACTAGTGGGATTTCACTGGGTCGTTGTTGTTGTTCTGTCGTTGTGCTTCGTCTCAACTTCCTTTGCAAATAGAATTAGTAATTTTAGCCATTGCGATTGAGGTTGTTTGGATATTGATTTCGTTGCTTTTCATTTTTAGCCCAAAAAGTTGGGAAAACTGGGTAGAATTATCTGTCATGGTTAATAAGAAACTGGGATTTGGCTTAAATCTGCAGTGTTTTCTCACTGGTGTGAAGGGATTTCAGTATAGACAGAGGAGTAAATACGAGCTTCGGGCTTATGTTGATGATGGCAGTCTCATCTCTGAGATCCTTATTGGTCATGATGTAAGTTACTGAAGATTGGATCCACTGACTGTTAGAATCTGATTATTGGTCTTTTGGTACTTCAGGTTGTGCAGAAGGAAATAGGGTTTTCTCCTGCAGAGGTTACTGCTGCTCTTGAATCTTCAGATGGCAAACGAATCAGTGACATGAAGGAGACACTGAAACGTTTTCAGAAATTCTTGGTGAATTTTGAGGTATTTCACTGCTATTTGTGAAGGGATTTTTCTTAATGGAAGTCTCCACATGAATCTTCTAAGTTCGTATTGGTTTATTATATAAAAATTCACCTAGCCGTAAATGCAGATAACGTAATAAAAAGTGCTTTTGGATCAAGAAGTACAATGCAAATACATATCTAATACTAAAGGAAAATGCGTCCTAGGATTGATTTTCTATAAATGGCATGGCAACGCATGTATTAAATATATAACATTGAACAATAAACTCTGCACCGTCAACCCAACCTAGTGATCCTTATCTAACTCTTCTGTTAAAAAATTATTAGAAAAGATAAAAATATATATGATTATTTCTAGGATTGATAACTTGATTGTTATTGACGCAAGCTGTTTTCCTGCTGAAGGATTATGATCTTTTAAAATTAATACTTGACGTAGCAAATATGCTCTGTGCATGAGAATGTTTTTGGCAATATGTGTCTTGCAGGGAATAATGCTTGTACAGTTGAATGAAGAATCCCCAATTCCAGTTGCTATTGAAATGAACCAGGGGTGTCCTGCCTCTGATGCATGGTTGCTTCTCAAAAGACTAAAGCCCGCTACTTCACAACCGCATCGTCTTCACCCAGAAACCATCAATTTATCCCCTTGATGTGCTGATATGCATGTGGACGTGTTCTCTGGGAAACATCAAAACCACGTGAGCTGATGGTGGATATTATAGTCCATGAAATCCCAGGCTTATCACCAAAATCAGTTTATCCTAAGATTTTGAATCAGCAAGGTGAGTTACATCACATTGCTCAATTCAGAAAGTTGTTGCATGAGATGATGCATGACCTGAGAAGTAACAGCATAAATGTAGATATATTTGGCCTTGAATCAAACAATAAAATCACTTCTCAAAAGTCTTTTGGGGCGGTGTCATATCTAACACAGTGAATCAGCACAATCAACAATGTAAGTGAGAGTTTTCCGTCATTCCTTACATAGAAGGTTAGCATTACAGCAACATGAGAAGATAGAGGCCTCATCCTTAGCTGCTTACAATTAGCTAGGTTCAATTTATTTCCTGTGTTCGCAATCCACTTCTATCTTCAGAGGATAGGAGAGGCTGGATATTATATTCTCTGGAGGATTGGAGATGGATAAATACTTCCCTGGTTCCCTGATATTCCTGAGCTGACATTGACAATTGATGTGTATACTCGTGTTTATGGAAACAATGCTGAATTCATCCTGGTAGCAATTGCAAGAACTGGATTGCTCTTTTCTTTCCTTTTATCCTTCAAAAGGAAAGAGAAGGATGGGTTTTTAGGGGGGGACGGAGACTGAGCAAAAGCTAAGGTAATGTTAGTAATCCTAATTTAATTCCATTGTTGGTAAGCTGCCTTTGGACATCTTCTGATTTTATTGATACGGGACTGAACATTGTAGTCCAAATTAGTTTCCCGAAGTCCAATCGAACGTGTATTCGTTTATGCCCGAAAGGCAGAAAGTAACTAAACAATTGCTAAAGGCAAAATACTACTGTACAACCAAACAAGAAAATGTCAAATTTTCATCTTCGTGCTTTTCGCTCTAGAAAAAGTAGAAATCAAAGGGTAGAATTTTGATGAAATATTATCCAGTGAAAGGTCAAAATAACCTTTATGCTATTTCTCAAAAGAAAGAATAAATATTGTGGATTTGTAAGAAGCGGGCGAGATTTACTAAATTTAATCACTTTATCCGTCAGATTACCCTAACTACTACACTGTACCATACAGTTATTACTTCTTCCAATGCAATTTAATCATATGAAGTGTTTTCCTTTTTGAGACGTCTCGAAATGTCTCACATCGCTCTTGTTATGATTTTTAGTACGATTTTCACAACCAAATCTGATTGTCGACATGTCACCAATAAATTCGTTTCGAGCTTAGATTATAAAGAAGAAAGCTGAAAATATATTGTGAATTTGAAAGAAGTTGACGAGATTTACTAAATTTAATCAGTCAGCCGTCAGATTACCCCAATTCTCCGATATTCTACTAATATTGTAACTATTTTTGTCGTTAACTTCCAGAAATTTGAGTTCGTTTGACTATTCAAACGTTAAACTTCAATATGACCGTAAGAGAAGGAATCACAAAAGAAATAGCTTTCGACTAATGCGACGAGCAAAAATCTGCTTTAATATACTAGTTCAGGAGAACCTTAAGACAGGATATCGGGATGAAGTTATGAAGGTACGACAATGCAATTCCAGTTGGGTTTGAGGAGGAGTGGGACTATGAAAGCTGCAACAAAAGAAAAGGACTTTCACCAATTTCTATAATGAGAAGCGGATATTGGTGAAAAAAGAAAGTTGAGTTCAAGTTTGGATCTAAGCTAATTTTTCAATCATTCCTTAAATATTTCTTCGACTACTATTAATAAATCATAGTATAAGTAAAAGTTCATATATTAAATCAAATATCTTCGTATAAAATGAATAAAATAAAGGGAACAATATATAAAAATTGGTTCAGGTCCCACTAATGAATGTCAGGTAATTTTCTTTCATATGTACCCAAGCCTTGTTAAACAGAATATCGGTACTTATGCCGATGAGAGGTAACATGTACTCGAGGAAACAACAACAACAACAACAACAACAATAATAATAATAATAATAATAATAATAATAATAATAATAATAATAATAATAATAATAATAATAATAATAATAATAATAATAATAATAATAATAATAATAATAATAATAATAATAATAATAATAATAATAATAATAATAATAAGAGTATCTGAATATTGGGGGCATGCTAATGCCATATTAAGGGAAGTGATGAAAAGCATGAATTAGAAAGAGAGAAAAGTGTGGACAAAGAAACCTCAGAAAATAATTGAAGCATAGAACTTACAACTCGGGAACGAAATATAAGGTCACCCCTATAAATTCTTGCCAACTTCTTCGTGGACTCTCTCACTTCTCTTCCCACACTTCTTTCTCAACTTCTCTCATTTGCTCTCCTCACACCCCCCCCCCCCCCCCCCCCCCCACCAAATGGCTTTCTTCATTTCTTATTGAAACATTTCTCATTTTCTCTTTCACCATCTTTGTCTTTACAAGATAAACAATAAAAATATACTAAAAGAAAAAAAAATAAAGAAGAGAGAAAAACAAAGTCTTTTTGGCTTATTTTTCCATCCATATTGATTCTTGAAGATAAAGAAGAAACCCCCAGATAAAGAATTGTAATTTTCTATCACTTTTCAATGTTTATACAAAGAACTAGCTAGCAATATCATGACACAAACTTTGAAACACTAATAATATTCAATATTTTCCTTTTTTTTTTCTCTCTTCTTTTTTTCTTCTCTTTTTTGGACAGGAAATAAAAAGGATTAATGGCACCAGATGGAGGAGGATTGAAAGCAAGAAATAATGGAGGGACAAGGCAAGTATTAAAAAAAGGTCCATGGACAGCAGCAGAAGATGCAATTTTAATGGAATATGTGAAGAAAAATGGAGAAGGAAATTGGAATGCAGTACAAAGGAATTCAGGATTAATGAGATGTGGGAAAAGTTGTAGGTTAAGATGGGCTAATCATTTGAGGCCTAATCTTAAAAAAGGTGCATTTTCTTTAGAGGAAGAAAGGTTTATTGTGGAACTTCATGCTAAGCTTGGAAATAAATGGGCTCGTATGGCTGCTCAGGTTATTAATTCTTTGATAAAAATAGTAGTACTGTTTTAAGTTCTTCATCTCCTTTTTTTGACACAATCTGCATGCGTCTGATCAGTCGGGAGTTAGAATTTTCATTAAGGGGTGTCAAAATTTAAAGAAGTAAACACACGAAAAAGTTAGGGAATTCTCAATATAGAATGTCATTTTTCGACGAAGGGTGTCACAAAAGTGGTTCCATCGTTGCATCTAACTCAGACTAATTGTATGAAAAAATTGGCACATATGTAAAGAGCGAAATTCAGTGATTCTAAATTTTGGATGTATAAATATAAATTAAATAGTGACGAATCTAGACTAGATGCTTAAGTTTGACAGAATTCACTACATCTATCTCAGACTATATTTGTATGTATGTGAGAAAAAAAAATTTGGCATACATATAAAGAATAATAATCTGCCCACTCTAAAAGTTGGATTTGCAACAACATATACATGGTTCTAGTTAGTTCTCTTCCTATCAATTTCCTGTGTATTATATCTGAAATCACTCCTGTTGTAGCCATTGAGATCAAGAATTGTTTGTCTTCTACATTTAATATCAAATTGTCTCATTCTATTTTGTATTTATTCCATGAACAGATGCCAGGTAGAACAGACAATGAAATCAAAAATTACTGGAATACAAGGCTAAAAAGAAGGCAGAGAGCTGGTTTGCCTATATACCCTCAAGACATACAACCACAATTAAACCAACAAAATATTTCTATCCCTTCACCATTTGATAATAATCCTCAAAATTCCAATTACATTAATAACCCCCCTCTTTCCCTTTTAGATATTTTCAATCCTTCAACCATGAAACCTAGTAATATTTCAAATCAATACCAATCCAATAATAACCCTTCTCCTTATCTTACAAATAACAATAACAACAACCAACTCAAGTTTTTTCGCGACCCTCGAGTTCGCCTTTCTTTAACATTAGCATCATCGATAAGAAATTCACAACATTCTTCAATGGTAGCACCCGTGCCTAATAATTTTAATCAGAGCTACTCTAATTCAATGCCAGTGCCACCACTTCAACATAATTATCCAAATTTTGGCTCCACTACAAGACCTTTTACGGGGATTCCCTCGAACCCAAATGGTTTAATCTTAGGTATTAATTCGCGCCTCAACTTGAAATTTTTTGTTATAATTTATTATTTTCTTTATATACTTTTTTTTCAACTGTACTTATATTTTCACTAACAGGAATGGGCGTGCAAAACAACCCTTCAGTCCAATCGTCCATGCCTGAGACTAAAACATGTTCTAGGAATACAGGGAGTGATTTTATGAATACAACATCAAGTGATGGTGCTGATAATTATGATATTAATCCTGGATTATCGCGAGGAAACAGTGGATTATTGGAAGATTTGTTAGAGGAGTCTCAGGCTTTAACTAGAGTTGAGAAAATAGAAGAGAATTGTCCAATTGAAAACGAGGCTATTAAAGGGAAATTGGTGTGGGAAGAATATGGATTAAGTGAAGAGGCAGAAGATATTATTTTAACTGAAGAATCAACATTTAGTTTTGCTCAAGAAGGTGGTGATAATGCCACCCCAAATAAGCATTCTGAAGACTCCAGCTCTCTCAATTCATCCTCAGGTAATTTCTCCAATATTGTTCATTAATTGGACTTAACTTATATACACTGACATAAAAAATATTCATACTACAATATATTTTAATATATTGTATCAGGTCTTTGTAACATTTTTCAGGTTATCAAATTAGGGTTATTATAAAAAGTTACCTATTGTTGTATGTTTCTTGATTGTGTAGGTTAACTTTTGTGCACTGACAATGTACAATTTTTCCACATATTTTTTCACAAATAGCCGGCCAAATTCAATGTTAACTTTTTTTAGCCAATATACATAGATTATACATGGAATATACATGATTTATGATAAGTGAATTATATTATACATTTGCCAGCTATTTTTAGTTTTGAATGAGCGGCTATTTGAATTAATTCTCAATCAAAGTTTATAAGCATTCAATATTGGTAACTTGTAGGCTTTAGTAAATGGTAAGTAACCTACTATATATAACATGTTAAGTTAAACTGATCGTGTAAAACTAAAGTTACACTGTGTGTATATACACACACTTCAAGGTTGTAGTGATATTACTTTCTTTCTTATATTTCATTCATTTAGAAGTTGAATAACTTTAATTATTGTTTCATTTATATAGGGATAACAACAAAGGAAGGTTCATTAGAGCTGGCTAATCAAGTGGATGAGGATATTATGAGATTTCTTGATAATTTTCCAGTAGGAGTACCAGTTCCTGATTGGTGTAATGATGAAAATGATGAGCAGAATACTTCTAATGGCCAATCTTTCGAATGTGACCAAATACAATCACATTGCTCAAAATCAGGCTGATGAAAATTCAAATTCATGAATATGGCAAAATTGGAGCATGTTATTGTAGTGACGTGCTTGTTTTTTTTTTTGGTTAATTAGAACTAGTAAATTAAGACATTTATATTCATAAAAAAAGACCGCTAAGTAAATAGCAAAGATTCTTGGATTTTGTTGTTACTTTTTTTTAAAAAAACTTTAGGTTAATATGTAGGTCTAATGATAATTGGCCACTCGATTGTGTTGGCTTAATTATCTGTTGTGTACGATTCCTATGAATCATGGAATTTTTTTGAGTTACATTGATTCTCCCAACCAAAAATAGTTTGTCAAGAATATGCATCGGATTTGAAGGGGAGCCTGGGAGCAACGGTAGGGTTGTCTCTGTGTGATCTATAGGTTACATGTTCGAGTTGTGAAATCAGCCACTAATGCTTGCATTAAGATAGACTGCCTACATCACCTCCCTTAGGTGTGCGACCCTTCCCCTGACCTTGCATGAATGCGGGGTACTCTGTACACTGGACTACTCTTTTTCTCGAGTATGCATCGGATCATAGGATCGAGTTCGATACTTCAGCTCGATATGAAGAATTCTGGAATAAGAAATGGACTTCGCTGCCTGATGTGAATACATAAGATAAACGAAAGAACACACAAAATTAATCAAAGAATTCAGATGTTTTGGATTCTATTACATTTACATGAGAATCAGCTAATTCTTCGAAGTTTTATTATGCCTTAAACAAAGCTTTGTGGTTAAAACAAGTCAGATTAGGGGAAGGAAATTGGTGTTAGGGTCGGTTTTTGTATAGGTTTAATGTTGTATTTTTTGATTTTACTTTTCTAAAATTCAATTTTTCTGTATAATATACTCAATATATACGCCAAATAATTTGGGCTGGACGCGGGTCTCACATGGACAAAGAGGGCTACTAATTTCACCACAAACAAGGATAGAGTAATACGTTGCACGTAAAGTTAGAGTGTGTAGCACGCTACGAGTTGGATTTTTGGGTTTTTCTTTACTTAATCATGTCATGTCATTCTTATAAGAGATCGCCATTAAAGGTAAAATAAGAATATTATAATTAAAAAATTATTAAATATAAAAATATATCAATCTTTTTTATTTATACTAAAAGAAGAAAGTATTATATGAAATGGAATAAAGGAGCAGTAGAAAAAAAACTTTTTACATCATCTAAATTATATTTCTGGCTCTCATCGAGTCTTAGTCACTAAATAATAATATTAATTTTGTATTTTGATTCTTCATGATAAGACCTAATAATTAATAAGACTTGGATCACATCATTCTTTATCCGGAATCTCGCATAAATGCAGGTGATATTGTCTTTACTAAATTTGGAGTATATTTATGATGTCATAAAGTAGACCTTTTCGTTCTTCTTTTTGAATTACTTTGTAAGTACTAGGTAGGGAAACGTTTCTATTATATTTTTAGCCAATAATTGCTCACTTATTATTTCTTCTTATTTCCTTTTATCTTCTATTAAAATAAAATAAAAACAACCATTTTCCAACCTTATTACAGAAAGAAAAGACGCAGTCCAGATACAGTGGCTAATACACCTTTTAATAGAGGATGTTATCGATGTGAGTTTACAAAATTAAATTATGCATATGCATCTAAATAATATTCTTCTAAAAAACAAAATATACGATTTACATTTGGATTTTGTATTACTCCCTCTCTTTTATACCATTGTTCTTTTATTTCTCTTCCTAAAATTCCTGGTAGTTTATTAAATAATTTTTTACCTAGATCTTGATTAAAAGCGTTTCCACTAATAATACAATAATAAAAATAATCATTTAAAAACATTTTTATATGAAACCAACTGCTTATACTTAATTGTTCTAATTTTATTAAAGCGTTTTTCTGTAATACTACTAATCCACTATTTGGATCTTCGCCTGTGATTAAGCTATGTATTTTATTTGTAAAATTATAAGGATTTGGTCCCATTGCTATTAAGGTTTGAAAGTCTTGTGGCAACTCTGACTTATATTTTAGTCTTCGTCTTGATGAACCTTCGTCTTCACTTTTTACAACTCTAGAATTAGCTAAACAAATAGAAACATCAGATCTAATAATCAATAGAGAACCAAGTTATATAGTAAAGTCTTGATTTTATGTAATATTTTCTTTAATTCTTCTTTTCTCTGTATTTTTTTTTACCTAAAATCTAATAATTAAAAGCTATTCGTTTAGCTAAAGTATGTTGTCTTAACATATATTTTATCCTAATGGAATATATTTTATCTTATTTCTGATTGTTTTGATATAATCTTTTTCTTGTTCTATTTCAATATTAATTCTTTCTATTTCAAAGAGAAGGAAATTCTTAAAATTTTCAGTATTTAAAAATACCTAGTTCTAGTTTTACAAAGAGGCTCTGTTGTGTGTGTGTGTATATATGTATATATATATATAAAATTTGGAATAGGAAATAAAGTATAAAACCATTAAAATCCTAGACCAAAATCCACGTACGCTGAATTGTGACTATAACTTTTTTGTGGTGAGATGAATGAGATCTCTTCACCTTTAGCTAGAAGTTTCGAATTCGAGCCATTCGAATGAAAAATAATCCTAATGGGGTGCTAGTGTTTAACCTTTAATGAGTCTTATACAACAAAAAAATAGGTTAATCGGGTCTCAATAAAAAAATAAGAAGAGAAAACTATACAAAATATCTATTGAACTAACAATGGGACTTAAAAACTAGAAGTTTGACTTGGCTTAACTTTGCTTGACTTAATGGGCGTGCTAATGAATAGGAGGATAATTATTTGGGCAAGTCACACGTTTGGCTGTAGTCCAAAAATAATTATATCCGTTAGTTAAATATATAAAAAATATACACTGATTATATAATAATATGCAAAATATGTATATTATATAGTAATAAACATAGTATTATGTATGAATATGTATATTATATAGTACCCATCCGGCTATTATTTTCGGGAACAACTATACAGTGAAGTTTTCAAGTTATACATTTGGCTGATCGGCCAACAACAACAAGAACCCAGTGTAATTTACAAGTGGGGTCTGGGAAGGATAGAATGTATGCAGCCTTACTCCTACGCTGAAAGGGCAGAAAGCATGGGCAAAGCTACATTATGATAAGGGTGGTCAATTGACCATCCTTCGTCAAAAAATTACACTACATATACAGATAAAATATTAGATCTTAAAGGTATATAACATATATTGAACACCCTTTCTCGGAGTTTTTTTTTTTTTTTACTTCTTTCAAGTTTGAACACCTTTAAAAAAATTTCTGACTTCGCCACCGACAGAAAGACTGTTTCTGATAGACCCTGGGTATTTGTCTGATCGGCCAAAAATAATTAATCTGCTGGCCAACATTCTTATACGGATAATCTGTGTATGTCACCGGCTAGTTAGTGACGGAATGATATGCATGTTTCATGTTCTCTGTCATTGTATTTTGGTACTTTATATTGAAACTTTATGTTAATTTGACGTTGGTGTATGCTTTTTATTGTTTTATTATTTGTACCATACGCCAAAGTTTGCTCGCGTAATGCCCATATGCCCATAGGACAGACCATATATTTGATTATTATCTGGAAAAGTATAGCTCATTTTTCTGCAATTTGTGTGCATAACATTCCAAGAATTTTTGAGGTCATCTTAAAGAATTTAAGGTCCAAAATATGTACAAGAGTTATGGGTTGTTCGGATTGTAGTCACCCATCTTTGAAATTCTTCAATATCAAGCTAAGTAAATTGGAATTGTTTTATTGGCAATATAATCAATTTGTTCTTCTGTTTACCCGTAAAATGGTATAATTGAATTTGTTGCGTGGTTTACAGAAAAGTAAATTGATTTGATCCAAAATGATAAATAAATTAAATTAAAAATAAGACTTAGCCTTAAAATCAAAGGAAATGACAAGCCTCGCTTCGGGAGCAATGCTTTCGAGGACAACAGTAAGGGCAATATCAGACAGAAAGTAAAGTTATACTATTTAGCTTGAGAATAAAGTATAGCATAAGTTTTGCGAGAGATTTCGTGTCCCTACAATGGTTATTGAAGTCAATATTTGTAGTTATACATAGGAAATAAGATCCTAGGATCAAGTCCCTCTTAAATTACAATAAATGGGGCCATTGATGAATGTCTAACGACAGGCCATGAGTGCCATAATTCTCTCCAACGGCTACCCATTTAATATTAAGGAATATTGCTACCCATTTAATATTAAGGAATATTCTCTATTAAATGTCGTCTGGTGACAAACTTTCGACCTGCTCCCTTCGCGGTCCATCCGATACCATTTGCAGCTGTTGTCCTGGTGTTAATTCTTACTCGACTTGTCTTTCGCCTGTTTCTGGTTTCATGTGTCATGCTATCATTTAGTCATTTAATATAAACTAATTTTACCCTATACAGATAGTCCCCCTGCTTTTCGATGACATATCTTTGTGTCACGGGGAAGTTGGTGAAGATTCCTTTCTTGGTGGGAAATGCTTTTGAAGCCCTCTGAACAATCTCTGACATTTGATAAGACGCACGTCTCCTCGCATTTAATACGTCAAACGCATGTTGCCCCACGATTCAATAATATTTTTGCCGGTTCTCGAGGTAATCATGACCACGATTTCTGCCATCTATATCTTTACTTATACTCATCATTTTACTTCTTTCACTTCCAAAACCGTCATAAGTTCATTATCTTCTTTGCTCTTCAATCTTCTTCTGCTTTCGTCTCTTTCCAACTTCCTTTGCTCTTATCCTATAAATTCTTTATTATCATGGCTTCTTTCACTGAGTCCTTTAAAAACTCTGGTCTTCTCTTCGGTGGAGGCCCGAAGAGAAGCAAAGATAGGGAGGTTGATGTTGATACTGATCCTCCTACGGTGAATACTATCATTCCTAAACACTTAAGCACTATTAACAACTTTCAAGAGAAGTTCCCTTCCACGAATCCTCGAACTTGGCTTGTTAGCAGGTACCCCTCTTCTATTCGTCCTTCCGGTATTCCTACTATGAAGGATGAATGTAACTGTCATGGCCTAAACATCATTGCTCCTGACCTGGGGGAGCGGTTCACCTTCACCAAAAAGAGTTTTGCTTATTTCTTTACGTACCCCTTCTCTTTGGGACCAATTTCTTTGAGCGGGGGACTTGACCCCATGATCTTGAAATTATGCCATCGGTAGCAAGTCTGCTTGGCTCAATCAAAGTAGGACCATCTGTGTGGCAAACTGTGGCTTGTCTGCACCACCTGT